AAAAGAATATTAGCTATTTTTATATTTGATATAAATAAAATGACTTTGGTTTTATTGATAATAATATTATATTTAAGAGTTTGATTTAAAAAAAAATAACACTAGTTGATATTTGAAAATTGAAATGAAAAGAAAAAATTTGATAAAATGAATATACAGTATCTTGTAAATTTTTTTCTTAGAATTAAAAAATATTGAAAGTTTTTATGATCAGATTATTAAAACAAAATTTTGATTGTAAAGAACTTTGAATAGATATTTATAGAAATGATACAGATGTAATTATAAAGATAATGAGATAAGAATTGTTGTAACAACTTGGATATTTAATAATATTGTTAAATTGGTCTATATAATGATGCTTCTTTTTTAAGAAAATGTTTTTTTTAAAACTTATAATTCTTTTATAAGTTTTAACAATAATATAACTTGGATTTACAAGTCAAAACATAAATTTTGGATTAGTAATAGGTCTATAAATATTCTTCAAAAGAAAAGTATTGATAAAATTTTTAATTTAGGATAGAGTTAAACTATATCTTGTAATTTCTATATATAAAATAAATTGAAATTATATAAATTTTATAAAACAATTAAATCTAAACAATTGATTAATAGGTTTGACATTTAATATATTTGTTAAATAAATTGCTATGATCTTAAAATTATTTTTAAGAAATTTAAATAAAAAATTATAAAGTTTAAAGTATTATTATTATAAAAATACAAATTGGAAAATAAAATTGTATTTTGAAATTTTTTGTTATATGGACTATATTGATAAACAAGTTAATTATTTTAATTGAACTTGTCTAAATTACAAAATAGATAAAATCATAATATTTTTTTCTTTTATATAAATTTGATATTCTAATAAAAATATCTTTTGATTAATAAAGTGACTAGTTTAAATATTAAGTTAATTACAAGAGATAATATTTGTTTTTCTTTAAGTAAAAAGATTTTTAGGTTTTCTTCATTAGCTAGAATTAGATTAAAAATTTTTAAAAAAATTTTGTATAAAGATTTGATAAGCTTGTTAATTTTTTTTTTGCAGATTACTGATAAGAGATTTATAAAAATGTAAAGTGAATAGAAAATATTTAAATTTTTCAAACACAACCTATTCAATAATTTTTTACTTGATTTCTTTTTTTCAATTTAATGAGTTTTTTAGGATTTTGTTGTTTTTTTAAGGGTTTTTCTATTGGATTTTAATATATAATAAGAGGATATTTAGATACTTAAGTATTTTATACTTTTAAATAATTTAAAAACTTGAATAAAATAGTTGTTAAAGTTAATATTAGGGTTCCAAAAAAGTACCAAATGTATATCGAACTGGTATCGAAATAGTACTGATCTATAGTAAATTTAATATATGGATTGTGACCTACTCATATGTTTTTATAATAAATTTAAGTATCAAAATGGTATCAAAATGGTATCAAAGTGATATTGTTAGAAGCCCTAGTTAATACTATAGAATAAACTATTTTTGATTAATATATTGTTAATTATTTTTATTTTGTCTTTATCATATATACATTTATTAATTTGAAAAATTTAATTTGCTGTTTTTAAAAGACTTTTAATTTAATTTTTAATATCTGCAATTAAAACAAAATCATCTATATATGTTAGAATATTAGAAACTATATATTTGATTATTTTGAGATATTTAAAAAGTTCAGTAATAAGTGAATTATAAAAAATGATTCAAATAATTGAAGATAAGATTGCACCTTGTTCTATTTTATTGATTAACAATTATATTTATATTAAATACAATTAATATATTTATAATATTAAATAAAAAAACAATATTAAATATTTTTTTTTAAATTTACAATTATATAAATCAAGATTGTAATATAAAAATTATTTATTAATTATTAATATATATTAGTTTATTTTTTTATTTTTTATCTATTTTTTATCTACAGTATTTTCAATAAATAATATACTTTTATCTAAACAAAATATTAGTTCAAATTTTTTTCCAATATAATTTAAATCATTATTTTGATAAATTAGTATTTAACTCATATAAATTAAAAGATATTTCTTAATTTGTAAATATTTTTAGACAAATTTATCTAAAAAATTAATAAAAGTATATTTATAATTTATTTTTTTTAATAATATCTAAAAATAAAGCTTATCTAATAGCAGTATTTAATCTTATATTATAACAAAAAATTTTCAAGTACTTATAAGATGAAAATACAATATATTGATTTTTTAAAAAAATTCAAACTAAAAAAATTATTTATTTATTCTTGACAAACTTTTTAAATATTAATTTTAACAACTATTTTTTAATTTGTATTGTAAATAAAAAATATTTTTAATTTTTGAAAATCTATAAAATTATAAAAAAAACTTGAAACAATTTTCATGATAAAAATTTGCAAATAAAAATTTAAAATTTTATTGTTTAAAAGGTTTATTAATACTTTTTAAAAATATTTTTTATAAGATAAATATACCTTATATTATTAATAAATTATTGTTTTATTTAAAAAATATTTATAACATTTGATTTTGCAAACAAATTTGCCTGCAAAACAATTTAAGAAATAACAATAACATCATCGAAGCACAAATTTCAGGTTTTGAGAATACTCCTGCTAAAAAATATTTATTGAACTTCTCAGGGATAGAACCTTGGCATGACAACTCTTGCCTAGGTAAAGGAAAGCCAATATACAGTAGAATTAAATCAATATAGTTTCTTGTCAATGTACAGATGATAGATAAAATTGTTGATGTATTAAATATTTCATGTGTTACCGAAAATAAAGTAATAAGGGATAAGGCCCTGTGAGTTAAGTTAATAATAATATTCGGTATGAAAAAAATTATTATTGTAAATACGGTTGATAGTGCTATTGTGAACGTGATAAAGATAAAAAAATTTTTGTCATTAAATTAATTATACTGATGTAAGTAAGCAAGCATGGGTAGGTTCGAGATTTTTAATATTTGCGAAACGCCGTACAATTAAGTAATTTTTCTAAAAAAAAAAAAAAAAATTATCGATTCGGTCACCTTAATGGCTCATTCTAGTGACATAATTAGCAGTAGAGATGAAAACTTGGCTGGTAATGATGAAAAAAAATGCAAGTTGGAAATTTACTTTAAGAAAAAAAACAACATCGAGTTATCTAACGCCTTACACCAATAATTCCGAGTATTATTGTAAGACGTGAGATATGTGTATGCGTATTTAAGAATTCGATTCTCGGAACAATGGAATGTGAGATTGTTTGAATAAATTTCTCGTGTCAATCTACAATCACCGTGTATCCAAGTACTTTTTTTTTTTCACTTGTGATACGACATAACTGGTAAAGAAGAATTTATGGAAAGTGGAAAGTGATTATATTGTTGTGTCGGAATATTTATAGGAAACGTGCACATGCATTCACCATTCATGTACTCGTTCAGACATTTGCGGTGTTACTTAATTCTGTTACAATCGTTCACAATCATTATCCACCTTGTAAGTCGTTGTCTCTTATTTCGATCTTTTTTTTCCACAAGTATATTCCCGAAAGTCACACACAGTCTTGGAAGGAATACTCGTGGCAGTCAGCTGTGTCATTTCGTCTGTACTCCAATATCAACCATTCAAGGAAAGTTTGTTTCTAATTAGATTATACGCTAATCCCGAAGTTGTATGTGTTAAAAGCCGTTTCTCCGAGTGTTCAAATTAGCGAATTGTCGTGGATGACGGAATAATCCATGGGTAGCTATTCGTCCTACTCCACATTATCGAGCTCGGATTCAACATCCTTCCATTGCTCCTACGCATATACTGTATACACACACACATACACACACACATATATACACACACGCTTCTTTTCTCATTGCCAACATGAATCGGGTTATCTGAGACTTGCAGGAAGTTTTTTAAGTTTTACGTGAGTACATGCCGTACAGTAGAGTAGTAGGTATAAACGGGTAGGTAAGAACACAAAATCGGTCTTTGTTGCAGTCTTAAAAAAACCAAGTAATCGACAACAAACATTAACATTTTCTGGTTTTTTTGGTTTACCTTTTTGGGGGTTTTTTTTTGTTTTTGGGTGCACACGGTTCGAAAAGGGGTTAAAGATGGATCAAGAGACCTTTCCTTTCTTCGCTCTTTTTTTTTTTTTGTCCATGCGTCAATCCTTGTATATGTCTTCTTTTTGTTCGTATCCTAGTACGTACGTTCTTTTTTCCTAATCTTCCGAATATGCGAGGGTACAGTGACGCCCTGTTGAAGAATAGAAATTTGGTTCGGTTCGGTTATCGACCAAATCTCATGTACCCGATCGAATGCTACACATGCAAGTATTTTGTAAATTTGTGGATAATGTGATGACCAAACATTTGGTGTGTTCGTGCACTTAAACAAAAAAAAAGGTAGAATTAGTAAATAACAGCGGGGGTTTGTTTGTATGTTTGCGTTTTTGCGTCGTTCATACTTGTGCTCGATCTTCCTGCCAAACTACCCGAATCATGTTGGCCCAGGAAATAAACAAGATACTTTGTTTATGCGTTTTCATCTCGGAGAACGAATCTTATTTCCACCGGCACAGTTTCACCTTGTTTATGCATGAACACACTGATACTAACTAATGTTAACGAGGTAGGTAGTCAATACCATGTTCAGAATTTTATTGAGTTCACCAAATAAAATTATTCAAAATTTCACTTAAGAGGTGTGGGTAAATGTATACATAATGTTCGTACATACAGGGGTATCAAACAAAGAAAAAAAAAAAAAAAAAAAAAAAAAAAAAAATTCCATGTCACTTGTACCTCTGCATGCCTAGACCATACCATAAAAACCAATATATATATTATACAGCATAAATCGAAGAAAGAATGTGACACATAAGTGTGGTAAAATGCGATTATACATGATAATGTACAAGTAAAAATTAATGATCAAAAAAAAAAAGAGTGGGTGATGATAATACATACATAAATTTTTCTTACAACTGTCACCATGGACCCAAGGTAGAGGAGTCATATGACGCGCACTCCACGTCGACCACACCACTACCCAGAATGCCCAAATCTATTCCGTTCACCGAATCCTTTGAACTTCTCAAACTATTCTGTGAATGAGCGGACCTTTGATTGTCACGGTTGGTCACGTTCTCGCCAACCTTACTCTCACCATTGGAGTGACCAAGAATATTGAGATTACAAAACAACGATCCGTTGTTTCGATCATTTCCATAGTATTCATGACACCGATTCCGATGGTAATAGTTGATGCAACGATTGTTCGGAGGAGTTGAACTCCTTTTGTTATCATAATGATTGTTAATGAAAGAGGTAATATGATTGTGATTATAATTATTTCGCATATTGTTACTAATGGTTTTCGTTCGTGGGTTGTTGTTTACATGTTCGTCGGCACCTCGACCATTGTCTCCACTGGAAGGTCGTTTCTTTCCATAGATTCGAGTCGACTGTATACTTGATCTATAACTGTTCACCTCTTTCTCGGTTATGTGTTTCGTTATTATATCATAACAGTCGGTACATCCATTTTCTGCAAAATTGAATGTCGAGTTAAGCCAAGCATAAGTGAGTGTGTGTATTCAAATTGTCTTTATTATTTACCATTTGTGCCACTCTCGGCGTCCGTGGTGGTCGTGGCGGCCGACAGTAACCGAAAAATCTCATCTTGCGGGTCGCTGTTGCTTAGCACGTCGTTGAGTATCGGTCTTAGAATTGGTCTGAAGGATTTTGATAGAGCGATCACATTTTCTTTTGCCTGTTCACGTGTGAATTCGAATAAGGTTAATGATTTGGTACATCGTCCAAAAAAATTGTGGAATGTGACCAATGCATTTGTGTGCTCAGAAATCAGGGTATTAACAGGAAATAAATTGCAACACGTTTTTAAAAAAAAATAAAGAGTTGATCTCTGTTTTACATTCTAATTGGGTTTAATGAATTACAAAAATAGAAAGGTGGTGATTTTTTTTTTGTTTTGTAGATTGTGAACATAAATGGATGGACAATGATATAAGCGAGATGAATGGCAAAGGATTTTCAAATGGGAGGACCGAATGAGGTTGTTGCAATTTATCGGTAGGTAGAACAAAAAAGGAAACTCGGGACCCCGCCAAAAAAATCATGGGAATCGTAGAACTCACCAATTCACCAATTTTACCGCCCCACTTGCCCAATGGAGTGAATACATGTTCTTCTTTGAGATCTATGAGACTTGAGGTGTCGGCCATTATGCGAGATATGCGCGAGCGCATCGACGGATTTATTTCTTGAGAAGTCAGGTAGGAACGTACTATATACGGATCATGGAAAAACCCGAAGGAGATTAATTCGTTGTCGATCATTTGAGGTTACAAAAAAAAAAAAAAATCAAGGGGCTGAAGGACCAGACAATGTCGCATATGCAAGATACGTACACAACTGATTCATCTTTAAAGAGAACGGACCCTCATTGTCAAACTGCATATCACACTCCATGCATTCCACCCATCCACCGGGTTTGCACACCCTCACCAATTCCTGCATTAAGTCGGGCCACTGTTTCTCTGTCAAGGCCAGGTTCATGAATCGCAAGTACAC